TTATATAATTAAGAGTCAGTTTCTCTATTTAACCGAACAGCAAACAAAGATTTAATTAGTCAGTTCTGTGCACGGCTTGACTGCCAAGCTTTCTCAAGGTCTCAAATTGCTGGACGCAAATATACTCTAACGGGCTAACAACAGCAACAATGAAATTCTCAATCGTACCACGAAGAAGGCGATCTGGCGATGTAGCTCGGAAAACAACGCCGGTCGGACCTGATATTAAAAATAAGACTTTTGCCGGCGAAGCCAGTTGGCAGAACGGCTTGGCTGTCAACAACAAGCTTTCGAATACATGACTAGTTTGGCTGTTCTTTCAGCGTCGTGTGTCCAAAATTCGTCCAAGATTTTGATAAAGCCCTTTCAAAATACTGTTTGTTTGATTTATTTTCTGCCATAAAGCATAAAAGAAAAGAAATTCGAAGAAATCGATAATGGAATTTGTTACGTTTATATTATTAATTGTCGCCTTGACCTAGCTATTTTTAAAACTGTTGTTTATGTAAACTTGCAACCAATAAAAATCCTTCATGATGCTGATCAACCAATCAGATTTCCCGTCCACCAGATGGACGGGAATCCCACAGTTTTATAGATAGGTTTTGTGTCAGGCCCTATTCTGTGATTAGGGCCTGAACTTCAGGTTAACTGTAGATATGTATCACAACTCCCTTCCGTGTTCCTGCATGCATTACTTTCATGCATCAATCTCGTTCCCCGAGCCTGCGATCCTCGGGAAGGAACGCGAGGCTCTGGGATAATCCGTTTCAGGGAGGAATCTGATTGGCCATTGAAATGGCATGCGTAGTTCAATCTTAGCCATGATTCTTGGCTTCCGGTAACGGATTATCCCAGAGCCTTCGATTCCTTCCCGAGGATCGCAGGCTCGGGGAACGAGATTGTTTCATGCATGTGATCAGAAAATTACGGAGAAAATATCAGTGTCCGATTTCAAGTTTGTCTTTATATATACTAAGTTCAGGAAAGAAAAAAATAATTGTACTTAATTTTGCTCGTATCTGAATTTTGCAATTTTTTCGAGGCAATAGTTCGCGATTTTGATAGCCCGGCGAAAATAGGAAAAAAGGCATTAAATTTCGCGGAAGCTTTCTGAACAACATTTTATTTTCTATAAAAATCTGAACTGTGACTCAGATGCATAAAGTTGATAATTGCTCTCAATTTTGTGCTTTCTTTATTACCAGTGACAATTAGACAGGATATAGCCTACAAACTGTAGCTTAATTAATACTATAAGTATATATGAGCTGTTGCATGTCGATATATGAGCTTTACATAATCGTTGATCATATTTTATATCAAGAATATCATGATTTTGACTAAGGTATTTTTTACTAAGGTATTAATTTCGCGTGTATAAATTTCGCGAGTTTTTTTATTCGCGTGACTTTAATTTCACGATTTTTTTACAGTCGTGAATTTCGAAATTAAAGTCACGTAAAATTAAGTATGAATAAGTTATATGGTGATCATGTCATTTCGAATTTTTATGTTCTAGAAAGCTTTCAGCAATATATACGCCTAGTTTATCAAAGGTTTTTTACCTTAATATAACTCGAGTTGGACATATTGGATAGGCCACTTGTCAACTCAAAAGGCCATGCAGTGGTGTAGTGTAGTCCTCCCAGAAAATACAATCACTACAGGGCTCATTTTGTTCAAAATACCATCCTGGATATGAGGGAAAATAACATATTACTGGTGGCACCTTAACTGGAATGGATTAGAAATAAAATGGAACAGTAGCTGCCACGTGTTTTAATTGTAGAATAATGCCAACTATTATTAAATTAATAAACATTTTGTTATATTTTCAAAGACTAAAACAAACCTTTCTTTCTTTAATTTGTCCTTCAAACAACTGCAAGAAAAACTGCCTCGAAACTTGAACACGCGGGGAAATTCCACACCTAAACAGCCCTTCCGTTGTCACGTTCATCTTAGATCACTACTGTTCCTAAACATTCTCCATGAGTGCTCCATTACCCGCTGCTGTGATCGCTGTTGCAAACCTCTATTAACTGGACACCTCACATTGGTGAGGTCCCGAAGGTGCCCGCTTAATATGGGTTCCACTCAATCCACTGTATCAATGTAATTCTACAGGGTGTATAGAATATTCGGCTCTCAAACTCGCAAAACAGCTCGCGGTATCAAGCTTTTGTTATATATAGATTCTGTGAATACCCATAATGTAGAATAATGAAAAAAATACTCGAAGTCAAATTGTGTAAACCAGGTGGTGTTTCTTTCCAACAAATTAAAGATGGCTTGGGCAAGAAATTTAAAAGGTTTAATCGTATTTTGGGTTAATGAATGGAAAATTTGTTGGGTTTTTAATTATCGTATAGAATGTCAGAGAATTTAATTTGCTTTTGTTTAAGCCCCTTTTAACTATTCATTTCCCCCTAAAAAATCAGTCTTTCGCATGCTTAATTAATGCCTTTACCTAATTTGCATATTGCTGACATATGCAAATTAGGCAAAGGCATTAATTAAACCCATGTAAGTTTGCGTGAATAGTCAAAGGCTTAAGGTGGCTCCCTACAGTTATAGTCCAGTTTAAAATATTTATATAGCTCAGACATCATCCTCGCGACTCGCGCGTGGAATCGTCGTGGCCCGGTAAAAATCTTGAAACAAGTAAACAAGCCGCGGGAAGTTGTTTTTGTATTTTTATCTACAAAGAAAACGCCAGTTTTTTATTATAATCCTAAACTTTTCAACATTCGAACAGTACGTATGTTGTTAGCTAGTTTTACCTACATTCAGTGTGTTTTTTTATATATTTAATACGTTCAGTACTGTATTTCATAATGCTCACAATGTTCAACAACAGTGTCACGGACTGAAATTATAGTTATACTGTCTTGAAAGCACTCCTGAATTGTCACTGAAACTTACGTAAACCCTGTCATTCAACTCAGTTCACATGTAGTTTTTTATCTGCTGAATCCAATAAAACTATAATGCAGACAGTTACGAGTTGTTTTATACGAAAAGTCAAACTCTACTTGAATGTTTTGAAAAGTTTTCACACCGATTTTCACAACAAAACTAAATTTAAGAAACGTTGGATTAAGTCAGTGCGTTATTGTGTTCTCAATGTTTCGTATTTTGAATATATATATATCTTTTATTTTCATTTCAAATAAGTAAAAAATATCTGTGTGATACATATAAGCCAAAAACTCAAAGAGAAAATTGCTAAAAAAGCCAACTATAAACCGTACGCGTTTCGTGTTCCCCACGCAAATAGTGATCATGTCGAATCGATATTTTGTCACGTCAACAGCTTCAACTGGATTTAGGACTATTTTTCTCGCGTTTCCTTCGGTGAAAGTTTTTTAAACTTTGCACGTTTGCTAAGCATGACGATTCGCCAAACATATCAAAATTTCAAGAAATTCTATAAGACAGATTTTTTGTAGTCGTTATTCATGAATATCTCAAAACCGGCCTTATAAACATCCCTTCAAATTTTAATATGTCATTCCCCTTTCAACCATAAATCTTAAAAAAAAAATTCAGAAAAATTGACCGAAGGAAAAAAAAGATATTGCCGTTTGATTGTAAAATTAGACAATAAAAGTGCAAAAGATGAAACGTCATGGTTGCCATGGCAACACTAACACGGTTCCTATTTGTTCATATATCGACAGCAGAAGACTTCTGAACTTTCCTGGAAATGATTATATTGCCCTGTCTTAAGTGTTTTCAATATAAATTTGGTTCAAAACGAAGGCTACCTAAAATACGTAAAATTTTAGAAAACTGTAGGGAGCCACCTTAAACGAAGCAAATTGTCTGAAATTTCGTGAAGGAATTAAACAACCAACACATTTGTCACCCGTGCATTAACTCAAAATACGATTAAAGCTTTAATTTAAATCTCTCGCAAGCCATTTTTAGTTTGTTGGAAAAGACAATTCCCCGGAGCCTGTTGTATAAAAACGTAATTAGCGCTAACTGTAGTTAACTGTTAAATCCTTAACTGTAATTAGTTAACTACATGACTTAACTGCGTTGCACAAAACGTAGTTAGTCGGATAGTTAACTAATCACGTAGTTAACTGTGCGTGGGGCTTGCGTGGGGCGTTTAAACACAAAATTACATAAAGTAAGCAGCGAGTAACGACCGCTGACAAGCATTTTCAACATGATTGTGGACTCGTATTTGGCAAATAGGCGGGAATTTTATTCAAAACACTAGAAAACAGTGAAAAATAAACAAGAAAACAAGGAAAAACCGCCACAAAAATCATAAAAGAAGGCAGTTTTTCCTTGAGATGTCTACGTTAAACCAAGGTCTAGCTGTTTGACAATTATATATCAATGTTTCTTGGAATAATGAACCATACTTCGTCTTCGAGAAATCGTCCTGTGCAAAAATATTTTCTGTTTTCGTAAAAACACCAAAGCGATAGCGTTTGAAGAGTTTATATTGTCAGGAAACATTCACAGGGAAGATAGCGATTGAAAATCTCAGGTAAGCGTTGCTTTTCATTGTTGTTTTACTGAAAAATGTTGTTCCCTCCTATACAAACGCCATTTTTAACTACGTTTTGGACAGTTGTTAACTATACCCTAAAGCATAGTTAACTTTAACTACTTTTTAACTGCAGTTAAGGCTAACTACACTTTTATACAACCGGTTTAACTACGTGATTAAAGTTAACTATTTTTTAGGCTTTTTAACTACTTTTTAACTGCAGGTAGCGCTAACTACGTTTTTATACAACCGGCCCCAGGTTTGCAAAGTTTGATTTCGAGAATTTTTTTTCATTATTCTACATTATAAGTACCGAAAGAAGCTACATATATCAAATACTGGATACTAATAGCTGTTTTGCAAAAATGAGAGCAATTTCAAATCTGTTCAGTTTTTTTATGCACCCTGTATACTGCCATATCTAAATTATAATTGCTCTCTTATTTATTTAGAGCCAGATTGGTTTGAGTCATGGCCTCTTGGTATGGAGAGTCATGTGGTTTTGGACTTTCAACTGAGTGCGTCATCTTCAAAATACTCACTCTCTGCGGCAGATAAAGGTAGACTGAACCTGAACTATACATTTAATACAACTACATCAGAGATTGAAACGTATGGCGGTTGGATAGCAGCAGATGATGATAACGTCCCTTGGCTTCAAGTAGACTTTATCACAAATGTGACAATTAGTGGAATAGCTACCCAGGGTGAAGATGAAGGGGAGGCCTGGGTAACCAGCTACGAAATATCTTATGGCTACAGCAAGAATTCCTTGCAGGATTATCAAGTGGATGGGCAAGTCAAGGTAAAAGTTAGCCGTCGAATTTCCGTTTATATAGCACTGGAAAAAATAGTGAAATCCTTGTCTATGTAATTTGCACTAAACCCGCAGTATATCCATAATGCCATTTCCATACTATATCCACAATGTAGTTTACTACGTTAAATTTAATCCATGCGACGCACTAACGCCTCACATTAAATGCGACTTCGCCGAGGACACGAAATAATAGAGACCTTTAGATTGACGTTCGCGGCAAACGTCAAACCGCTAGCGAGGTTTTTGTTTTTACAACTCTATTATAATAGCTTTTACACCAGTTTTGAAATATGTTAAACTTATTAAACCTGTGCATGCTCTTTCACAATGATTTAAGAAAGCAAATAAACCACTAGTCATGTCATTCACCAAAGCAGTAAATTAAGATTTGGCATTTGAAGTTGACGTTTGGCGTATAAATTTCATGCTTGAACTGCTACGAGGGCTTGTAGTCGTTAAATCATGATATTTATACGCCAAACGTTTATACGCCAAATCTTAATTTACTGCTTTGGTGAATGGCATTAACCACTAGTCAGTGGTTAATTTGCTTTCTTAAATCATTGTGAAAGAGCACAAGTTTAATAACTTTAACATATTTCAAAACTGGTGTAAAAGCTATTATAACAGAGTTGCAAAATCAAAAACCTCGCTAGCGGTTTGACGTTTGCCGTAAACGTCAATCTAAAGGTCTCTAATGACACGAAAGTCCGCCAACTAAAATTCTGAAGCATTAAATTCGACGAGTTGGGCTCGAAAACATTTCAGTTTCGTCCTTTTTAACTTATCATAAGCTCCACTTCGTGGCACGATGTAAGGTATCGTCATATTTATGTCCCCTATTTGGGATAAAAAGCGTTAAAAGGACAGTGTCACGGTTCTACTGCGCATCTAAATTTGAGCACAATTTGAATTTTAACACCACTATATAAAATAACACTTTAAAAAAATGTTGCCCTATCCTTAGACTTTCCTTGGACCTAAAAATGTCATGGGAATCTGTAATTAACTTTCTGTGGTAATCTCATACATGTCCAATACTAACGCAAATGTCCAATGGACATATGAAATGTCCATTGGACATGTGACTGTCCATTGGATCCAATGGACAACTCAAATGTCCATTGGACATGTGTATGTCCAATGGATCCGATGGACATGTCGATTGGATCCAATGGACAAAATCAAATGTCCACTGAACATATCTATGTTCATTGGATCCAATGGACAGCTGAAACGTCCATTGGACATATGCCTGTCCAAGGGATCCATTGGATCCAATGGACTATTGCATGGTGTCAATGCCAACCTATGATGTCATTCGAGTTAACTTATTTATTTCACAACCAAATGTCCACTGGACATTTGCCTGTCCATTGGATCCAATGGACAAAATCAAATGTCCATTGGACATATCTGTTTCCATTGGATTCAATGGACACCTCAAATGTCCACTCGACATTTCAATATGTACTTTGGAAATCTTGCAGAGGTATTGGACATTACTCTGGTATTTAACAGTCATTCTGCGAACGCAAGTATTATATGATCAGTCATATACGACGAGAATGAGTATAGGATAACTGTTATGACCAACTATATACGACTGCATTACAGACTTTTCAATATGGAATTATTTTTTACAGTAACGTTAGTTTGGCAATCCATATAACGTGGCCTAAACCTGAGAAAATACTTGTGGCAGGCAGCTAATTTTTTAAATTGCGGTAGGCAGTGGCGCCGGCAGGATATATTTTTGGGGGGGCAAATCCGAGTGCCGAAGGCACAAGCCTTCTAGGGGGGTTCGGGGGTATGCCCCCCCGAGAAAATTTTGAATTTTGGGTGTCTAAAACCGCATTTCCTGCGTTTTGGAGGCACTTTAAGAGAAACATAAAGGTTTTAATAAATCACTTTTTTGTAGATCGCAACATAAATGATTTCCATACAATATATGAATCAAATGTATTTTTAATAAAACCAAGTATGAAATGAAGAATTTAATGTTATAATACATATTTAGTACAAGTTCCATCTTCGGGGAGCTGCGTCGGTAAATCGTTCAACGAGTCCTTCGATGTCGAGGCCCCGACAAATGTCAGATTCCACGGACATGAGCATAAGCGATTCTAGTCGATCTTGCCTCATCGTCGACCTCAGGCGATTTTTTATTATTCTCAGCTTGGAAAATGATCTCTCAGCAGATGCTGATGTCAAAGGGAGAGTAAGGGCAATCTTAATAATTTTTAACAAATTGGGGAAGCATTCGGGTTCTTGAAGAAGTTCGCGGTATAAATCAACCAAAGACGGCTTTCGTTCTTTCGTTTCCTTGGCCAGGATATCTTTGATCATCTTCGAAGAACGAATTAATTTCATCTCCAGTTCAAGAGCATCAGCGTTGATGTCATCTGCGAACCAATCGGCGGCGTGTTTGACATGCTCGAAAGAATCAGGCGTCGTGATGCGTTTGGGATGAAGATATCCAAATCCCCGTAAGATGGATCGGTTTTCTGCATCGTACCTCGTCTCGATTGAATTGATCATGAGATCAAGAACCTGTGAAAACAGTAGTATAGTTAAAGATATCTGCAATTTAATACTGATCAGATAGAAAGTTTCGAACAGTGTGTGAGAGATAAAATTAATGTTTCGCACAAATACTTACTGAAAAGTAGAACCCAACTCTAAATGTATCTTTAGGTTCAAGCCGCACAGCTGTCTCAGGATGGTCGTCCAGTCGTACCGGTATCTTCCTTTGACGCGTCTCCATTGGAGTTTCAATGTTGAGCTCTTCACATGTTTCAACAGTGGCAATCCAGAAAGTCTTGAACTTGTCGTCGGTACGAAGTTCTTCTATGGCAACAAGCAGATCTTCAACCCGGTCACAACCTGACACTACGTCGAGATCCTCTGATTGTAGTTTGTCTGATACACCTTTGCTGAGGTTAAGTACTTTGTCGAGAACCTGAAAAAGTATCAAATAATAGAAATATAACTCAAAATATATGATACGGAACGTTTTCAACTCAAAACCGAAAACAAAACTTTTCATGGTCGTTTTCCCAATGCGAACCATACGATATAGTGCAATGTACTTAGAAAATGAAGTCCTTTATATACTGTAAGTATACTCACTTTCAATGATAAAACAAATTCAAAATCAATATTACTCAAAAGACCCTTTGCTTCAGCTGCAATCTTCGCCTTCGTCTCAGTTTCGTGGATGATTTTCAACGTTCCTACAATTGCCCCGATGGTCGCATTGAATGTGTTGATCGCATTTGCTCGGCAGGCCCAACGAGTTTCGCACAAGCTCTTCAGTGTACGAACTTGGAAACTCTTCGTAGAACCACTGCTTGCGTGGATCTCGGCTTGCTGCTGGGTGCAAACAGCATGTCGTTTCGTGCATGTTTGAATAAATACGTACAAGTTTTGAAGGGTTCCAAAGAAATCTCTTGCAGTGGTGTTGCTGGTCATGGCATCGACAATGACTAGGTTCAATACGTGTGCATAGCAATGGACGAACAAGGCGGATGGGGAGATTTCTTTTATTCTCGCTTGAAGACCTGTCCGTATGCCCGAAACATTACTTGCTCCATCGTAGCATTGACCTCTAAGACGAGTGACGTCTATGTCGTGGGATTTCAATACAGCGCAGAGTGTTTCAAAGAGCATTTCACTTGTCGTCTGATCTACAATCCTGAGAGCCAACAACTTTTCTTCGACATCTCCTTGATATACATAGCGTACGGTGATGGAAAATTGTTCGTTGTGGCTTGTATCTGGGGTTTCGTCAGCAATAACAGCGAAAAACTCAGCTTCCTTCAGCCGTCGGACAATCTCATCCGTTATGGCCGTCCCAATTACATCAATCATTTCATTTTGGATTTGATGACTTGTGTATTTTGTATTATCTGTTGAGATAACAACATTCAAATCAAACTAAAATAATATGTTATTGATTGCAAACTCCGTGATCCTGAAAGATCATGGTTGGATTTACCAGATTATGTCAATCAGCCTGGTGAAATTAACCGGACCTATCACTGTAGCTCTGTTTAGAAATATTACAACGAACTCTTTAGTAATGTAAGCAGGCCGGAATACTTTTAACTTAGCCTAGCATGACCGCATGACATGTAAACCAGTTAACAGAGAGTTTTTGAATGAAGAATATTTATAAATCAGGAATCAAATAATTAAATCAAAGTTTCTGGCAAAGTTCCACAAAGAGCTGTGGAATGCACAAAACAGCTACACGAATAAAGTACAACATTAAATTAAAGTTATTTGGCCTAAACAATTGTCAGTATAGCCAATTAAATCACAAACCTTTAGCATTCTTTAAATGGAAGTCCATGATAGCATCATGTTTGGAAAAGTGCGCGATTATATCTATGAAAACGCCTTTGTTCGTGGATGTTTGATTTTCCCGATGACCTCTAAATGGTAAGTTCAGTCTTCCAAGCAGCCTTACAACATCAATTATTCTCCCGATCACTGTACGTTTTCGTTTCACCTTAAAAGGACATTAATTTGGAATAATCATGCAATATATCAAACTATACGTATGCGTGCATTTTCATCTATAAAAGTGCTAAAATGTCGCTTATGATTGAAAAAATGCCATTACATACATTACCTCTATCTCTTTCTCACTCGCCCGGATTTTAGCATGTTCGTTTAATTGTTGGTCGATCGGCTTCTGCTTCAGCCAGATTGAATATCCCTCGAAGGCAAGTCTGTGACCATCGCTGTTCTGGTGCGTCGTAAAGGTTTTCGGTTTCTTCCAATTTGAAAATCCGTCGGTAATGAACGCCTTCTCGGACCTACTGCACATCTACAACAAGGGAATTTGATTTGACTGTGCACTGATGAATTTAAGATATTAAAGTTATATCATACTATAATTTATATAAAAATTACGAAAATTTTAAAAGGAGACTTGCAAAATATAAGCTGTTACAGTCCACATCGGTCCAGTTTGACCAGTTACCGTTGGTATAAAAGATCTCACCTGGCGATTGAACGTGCGACAAAAGAAACAAAATGCTCTGTCTGTCTTCTTAGAGTATTCAAGCCACTTGAAATTTTCATACCAAGCTGTAAGGAATCTCCTACCATTGCTATTTCTTGGGAATGTAAAATCTTTTGGTTGACAAGGACCCTTTGATATAACATAATTTCTCGCATCTCGATTGGAAGGTATCGGGGACGAAGGATCGTAGTCATAAGTGCTAAGATCGAATGACTGTGACTGGGCCATTCTGAACATTAACTGAATAAACTGTAGTGCCACTCACGCGATTTTGTTTAAGCGCAAAATATGCTAATGGCCTAATGCACGTATTGGACTTATGAATGTTGGGTTGGAACATTGATAAAAATTTATTTTTAGATAAATAATCATATTATTGCCTCGCCTAGATTTAATCTAACGTAATGGCAACACATTTGAATTTCCTGTTTTGCGCGTTGACATTTTCACTAATAGTTTAACGCCTATACATATTTTAAATTAAGCATACTGAAAACCCCTTATTATATTCAGTCTTCGCTTCGTAGCATCTATTCTTTAATAATATTTTATGGTTGATTTGAAGTTTTCAATTATATATTATATATTAAATATAAATATTAGTATTTAGTATCTCGAGTATTTTCTCGGCATACGATCTTTAGGCCCTCCCCGATTGTGCTCGGCAACTTTTTAGCAACTTTTGGCGTTTGGAGCAACTTTTTTCGGTTATAGTAACCTCAAGCAACATTTGCATTTCAGAGCAACTTTTTTGCAAATTGCAGGTTTACTGTATAAATCATCAATCATTTTAGCCAAAAAATTAAAAGATTTGATAAATGATAATATAAAAAACATTTTCTGATGATAATTTATTACAGTGTAATGTTTTAATATCGCAGTATAGTGTTTTGATCAAACTACCTGTCACTGACAGGTAGTTTTAAGGTCAAACAGCAAACTACCTGTCACTGACAGGCGTCAGCCTTTACTTTGTAATTGGTATTATTTACTAGGGTTTCCTGTGTAAGTGTTCAGCACTAGAAACAAAATGGCGTCTTCATTTTTAAATTAAAATTGCTAATTTGAAGCATGGCCGAAACACAAAACCTATCAGACCGAGACGAATCCTTTGACTCATCAGATTCAGACAACGAAGATGTGCAGGTACAAGTACAAGATCCAATTTTGACAGCAAGAAATGCTGGTGCAAGTCTTAGTGTTCCAGCAAAAGCTAACATTGCACGTAAGAGAAAACTTCCTACCAACCAAGGAAAGTACAATCAAAGGGGGAATAAAACTATTGCCAATACAACTGCCTGGGATCGTTTGAAGGATTTCCCCAACCATCATTTTACTGTAATCGACCGGAAATTGCGGTGTAACGCTTGTAATGAAGAGCTCTCTTTGAAGAAAAGTTCAATCAAAAAACATATTGAGTCAAAAAAGCACAAGAAGGGATTGTCTGATATTGCAAAGAGCAAATCACAAAACCAGACAATAATGGCATGTCTGCAAAAGAGAGATAAGAGAGAAAGTACACCTGGCTCAACCTTGCCTGCGGAAATGCGATTGTTTCGTTTTGGAGTTGTTGAATCTTGTCTCAATGGTGGTATACCAATAGGGAAAATCGATGCCCTTCGACCGTTACTAGAGAAGCATGGCCATCGGTTAACCAGCAGCGGCCATTTGGGCGAGCTTATTCCAGCAGTACTAGAAAAAGAGAAGGACAAGCTGCAGGAAGAACTCAAAGATGTGAAAGAGGCTTGTGTAATTTTCGATGGTACAGCCAGATTGGGTGAAGCTCTGGTTATCATAATCCGCTTTGTCCAGGAAAACTTTATACCTACTCAGCTGCTCATACGCCTGGAAATTCTTGCAAAGTCACTGAAAGGAGAAGAATTGGCTCAGCGACTAATGTCTTGCCTGGCTGTGGATTATAAGCTTGGTCCGAGTACAGTCATTGGAGCTGTAAGAGATGGCGCATCTGTTAATGGAGCTGCCTTGAGACAGCTGATGTTTTTTTATCAAAAACTCTTTGATGTTGTGTGCTTCTCCCACACTATTGACAATGTCGGCAGCCATTTTCAGTTTCAAATCCTGGACCTATTCTCGCACTATTGGATAGGCATGTTTTCCCATAGCTTCAATGCATGCCTTATTTGGAGAGAGAGAACGGGCAAGTCCATTCGCAAGTTCAGCGACACACGTTGGTGGAGCAAATGGGAAGTGCTTAACCAAGTGGTCGACTATTTTGGTTATGTTGAGCCATTTCTTCGCGAGAATGAGGAAATCTGTCCTGCTAATCGCCAACATCTGCTGGAGATATTTGACGATCCCCAAAGCTTGCAAGAGTTACGCATGGAGCTGGCTGCACTCGTTGATGCAGGGGTTCATTTTATTAAAGCAACCTACTACTTGGAAGGAGATGGGCCACTCATTTTCACCTGCTATGAGAAGCTTTCGGCTGTTTCCCGGGCTGTAGCTGTCGACAATTACCCTAACACCTTGGCTGTTGCTCGTGAAAGTGCTGGTGGCAATGCTGCGCTATGTAACCAGTTAATTGCACGGGCGAAAGCTTGTATCCAGCCAGGCCTCCAATTTTATCAGCCGAAGTTCAGTGGCCAATTTTATGGAACTGTGCGAGCATTCAAAGCTGCACGTCTTTGCTGCCCTGTACAAGTGCAAAGCCTGAATCCGACAGCTGCATCACTCGAAGAGTTCAGAAGTTTTCCCTTCATCGATGACGACACCACAATAGCAAATCTGGCACAAGAGCTTCCTTTGTATCTTGCTGCAGCTGATGGGGTCACAGTCACTTGTGAGAATGACAAGTTGACATGGTGGGCAGCTCACAAAGATGTCCTCCCGCACTGGTCTTCGCTAGTCGAAACACTGCTGTTGATCCAGCCAAGTTCAGCATCTGCAGAAAGGGCTTTCAGTCTCCTGTCCAATGCATTTTCCTCGCAGCAAGATAGTGCCCTTGAAGATTACCTCGAAGCTTCTGTTATGCTTCAATACAATAATACAAAGAGGTCGTGACTGTGTAACAGTCTTGATTTTGTGTTGGCCGTGACATTGTATATATATAAACCGCATTTAGGTCGGCATTACTCGATGCAAATATAGGTGAATAGGTGATCGACTAATCTACAAATCTACCTTCCACCAAGTTGAAGTCAAATGAGCCATTATAAGTTTTGTTTCAATGTTATTTGTTAATAATAGTTTTGTAAAAATACGCCGATATGTTTGCGAACGATTTATTAAAAGCTTTTTACAGTTTTTTTGGTGAAATATGTGTGAAAATGGCGTGAACTTTAGGTAATGAGCAGGCGCAACTTTTGATGTTCAAGTAGCAACTTTTTGGATTTTTGGCATCTTTTTAGCAACTTTTCGCATTTTAGGCAGCAACTTTTCGCATTTTAGGTGGTAACTTTTTAGGATTTTACGAGCACAATCGGGGAGGGCCTAACGATCTTGCACATCGAATTCGACGAAATGATAACGTATACTTGCGTTAATAGATCGCGTGAGTGAATCTTAAGTGCGGATACGAAATTCAATGGAGGTCAATATGCTGAGTGACGTGTCAAGCACTGTAAGCACATGGTCGACGTAATATTTCATACGTCATTGGCGAATAAGTTTTACACTTCTTATGACACTCGCTCGTGATATTTTAATTGTGTTGAGCATAAGTAAAAGGCAACTAGTCAGAGCCTTTAATTAAGTTTAGTAGATACCGCAAGTTACGCATTAGCCATTGCACGCAACCGTACACTTGACAACCAAATATTTACACACCGCACCCCCCCCCCCTACGACATCGGATTTGGACAAATCCAAAAACCCACTCTGGAGAATATTGGGGGGGCGGCTGCCCCCCCTCGCCCCCCTTTGCCGGCGCCACTGCATCTGTCGTTCCTATGACAACAAAACCTGAAATGGCAGCCACAAGTACCGACCAGGCAAAAATGCCCGCCACCAGTACCGTTCAAGAAATCATGCCCGCCACAAGTGCTGTCCAAGAAAAAACGGCCGCCACCAGTACTGTCCAAGAAAAATTGCCCGCGACAAGTACTGTCCAAGAAAAAATGGTCGCTACCAGTACCGTCCAAGAAAAAATGCCCACCGCAACTACCGTCCAAGAAAAAATGGCCTCTACAAGTACCGTCCAAGAAAAAATGCCCGCCACCAGTACTGTCCAAGAAAAATTGCCCGCGACAAGTACTGTCCAAGAAAAAATGGTCGCTACCAGTACGGACCAACCAAAAATGCCCACCGCAAGTACTGTCCAAGAAAAAATGGCCTCTACAAGTACCGTCCAAGAAAAAATGCCCGCCACCAGTACTGTCCAAGCAGAAATGACTTCCAAGCTGATTGCACCAAGTGGAAGCACGAACACAATTGGTACTACACAAGCTTCGAGTTCAGTTGAATTTGTCGATACACGGCCCCCTTGCCGCAGTGCATCAGGACGCGTGTTCAGTTTGGGTGATTTTGTCCTTGTAGCGATTGGATTGTTGTGCGGAATGTTTTAACATCCCCCGAGTGTGTCAGTATGAAGATTACTTCATTTAACTTAATTTTGCTTGTTAAAGTAGCGCTCTGCAGTTTATATATCAAGATGAACTGCAGTTTCCATAAAACATCGAAACGTCAAAATTTTACTTGTATTTTTCAAGTGGTGGAATTATCCTTTCTCACGATGACGAATATCCGCCATTTTTGGGTGGCATCTAATTCTCGTTAACCAATGCAGACAATTAAAACAATGTGAAAAGCAATTTTTCAAGATAAACTAACCATTTACAAAGCAAGTTTACCATCATTCGTCCAAAAAATTATAAAAAGTCGCTGTTATGTGGACTTATCTCGCAGACTGCGGCTGAAAAGCCACTCAAAAATGGCGGCGCGAGAAAGGCTAATTCCTCTCGATCGAGAGCTTTGGGTGTAGCGTGCTATCCCAAATTCAATTATGCTTTCAATTATTAATTGGTGCTCTGTTGTTGTTTACAAAATATCTGGATACTACTAAGAAATCAGTTGGTTCAGCGCATAAAACAGAAATGTATATGCGCTATAGAAATGTTATTATTATTATTTTTAAAACATATTCAATTTACATAATCATCGCACAAGTTTCATTTTCAGTTTTGTCAGTAGTTTGAAACAATACTCCAAGTTTCATAACACGGTTGTCGGAGCCTCATTTTGTAGCAGCTGGCAAAGCCATAAACACACAAGGCAACAAATTCACAAGTAAGCCTATAGATCTTAAAACGCGGAAATAAGTAGGGCTATATCGGCTATATCTTACAATTCAATAGCTTTATACAGAAAATATATAGTGCTAATTATAGTGGGGTTATTCGGTTTAGTCTTCATTAGCAGTATCGTTTCCCAGCCGTGTTTAAGTAGAATTAATATTCTGCTTGCCCGGCTCATACTCGTATAAAGATCAAATAACGCTAAATATATTTACAATGTACATTTGTACAAACATTAAGGGCTAGGCCTAGGAACCTTTATGAAACCCTATCAGGCTTTTATTCAAAGGCCCCCAGTTTAACAATATTATAAAGAATGATTAAAGTTTGTCCAATCTTGTCAAAGACAAAGTAAGGGTATTTACAAATATAGTGATTCGAATATAAAAATACACAATTTACAAGTGTTTATTATGTGAGATTACAAATGAAAGCTTATTAGGTATATTCCAAGAAAAGGATTTTCAACTTCTTCTTAAAAGTAGACTATATATACTGCTAATGAAGACTAAACCGAACAACCTCACTAATATTAGCACTATATATATCTCCTGTAGAAAGTTATTGAATTGTGAGATACAGCCCTACTTATTTCATATGCTTATAAATTCTTCTATAGAAGCTAGGCTATTATTTGAAATGCTTCAGTATAGATTCTTGTATACGTAGAAGCCAGACTATATAGAGCGTTTACATGCACTCATTCCCCTGCAGGGACAAACTGAACAAAAAAACTTTTGAAATAGTAATCATCATGTGGACAGTTTATGTTCGTTATATATTGAAATATAATAAAACCTTTAGAGATTTTAAATGTTCGTCTAAACCACAGACTTTCATTTTCTACCGGCTGCTACTAATTAACTTCCCGACCGGAAAGGCTTTCGCTGGAAAACATCGAAATTTTGCTTAATATATTTTTCAGGTAATTAAATCTCATATCATGCGCGCCAGCAGTAGAAAGCATGTTCGTCTATACAAGGCCCGTTTTTGATACGTGGAATTTTGGTCGCGTCGGATGCAAATAAGACAATGGATAATGAGATGATAAACCTCATTAAGTTTCATTATCTATTGTTTGAATTGCATTCAACGCGACCGAAATTCTACGTATAAAACAGGCTTCCTGCCGCACACGAGAGAACTGACTTGCTGAGCTAACCGCCTCGAGTGGCAGCTAGCTCAGCAAGTCAGGCTCTCGTGTGCGGATAGTTTTCGTGAGGATTTGACCTCTCGAGGTCTTGAGGAAAATATCTATCGTGTTTGATATTTTTCACCTCATGAGGAAAAATCTCAGAGTGTGCGGATGTTGTGAGCTTAGTGCTGAGATGCTTCAATCAATTAGACAATGAGAAACCATAGTTTCTTCATGTGAATTTAAACAAAATGGAGGAAAATGCAAATGATTTTGTCAATTATGTTGTTGTTGAGAACTGAGCTAGCTGCCACTCGAGGCGGTTAGCTCAGCAAGTTGCTCTCGTGTGCGGCGGGCTTAAGGTAGCCGGCCATGACTATTACATGCAGTACGTTCAAGAATATGTTAATGTTTTTACTATAATAGATATTGGCTAAACAATTAACAGTTACAATTATAGTTACAATTATAGCAGGATTTGAATGTTGTATTTGTCATGTGTATTATTCAAATAAAGTTGTATTGTATTATTGTATTGTATTACGGCGCAGTGCGAAAATAAAATGTAGTGTGGACATGTGCTTAGAATTTATATAACGATGGCTTCCTCGTCAGTTTATGCAATGTGGTTTCATTCTCTGCTGAATAAATGAATAATAATTATTGCCACAAAGGCATATGTTAACATACAAAGAGTTGTATCACAAACAATTAGTCAAGTATGATTTTCAAGACTTCCAGTCAACCTATAAATTACCAGACTCAAAGCGTCGTGCAGCAAATGTGGTCAACTGGCAGTTTTCAGAGTGAAAAAAATATACACTACTCTTGCATGTATTTGGTGGTATATAAGGCCATATAAATATTAAGTTTATGACAAGTTGATCGGTCAATACGTTTCCCTTGACTCGAGTTGGCTCGTGTGCCCAGGATGTTGTTAAACATTTATCTCACGCCAAACAAGGCTGCCTTTTTATGCCAAGACCATAGAAATATTTCTTGTACACTTCTCAAGTTTTCCTTGACAAACACATTTTTCTGGCATGACTATAGCGTTGGAAGCCGTGCACATGAGCAAATAAATCTTGTCAAGGAAAACTTTCTCGTCTTTATGGGGCCGTAGTGTCAACAATAAAAAAGTTGATGCCCATCATGAACTCTGCTTCCCGGAACCCGATTAAGACGTCACCAGAGTGCACTCCTTTAAGCTGCTTCCTTTGCGGATCCGGCTAGAGATAGACATGGTTTTATTCAATACCTTGACTTCCAGTATATATACTGAATTGATAAGGTTTACAGTTAAGAAGAAGATTTTTTTAACTATTTACAAAAAATTATTTGCTATTTATAATTATTTTGTTTGCAGTTTTATTAGAACTGATAGAGCTATCCAGTATAAATAAAGGTTAGCTTATGTTCTTCCTGTAGTAACATTGGTTCAATAAGGGATGATCCTTATGGACCTCTAGAAAGAACAATTTAGAACTGATCGATAGAGCTATCCAGTATAAAAATAGGTTAGTTTATTTTCTTCCTGTAGTAACACTGCCAGTTCAATAAGGGATGATCCTTACTGGTCAGGAAAGCGAAATTTAGATTTGACTGAGTCTGAGAGGTATCCAGTTTATTTTTAGTTTAGTTTATATGCCTTCTCATCGGCAATCAACAATTTTTTTCTTATAGAAAGATGTTGCGATTGACGGTAGCAGTTTTTGTCCTGGCATCTTTATTTAGTGGTCAGTACAAGCTCTTCTTCGCATCGTTCAAGATGTTTTGTTCTTAAAACACAATGGTTACTTACCGAAAAACTGTTTTTCAATTTTAGGTCTTCACGGGCAGGCACTCACATGTCTGTGTACAGGGAGTACGTGTGCCAACGGTGTGACAACATGTACGGAAGACAACGAGCTTTGTTACGCAGCTGTGATTAGACTGAAAGATGCTAGCACTAGAATCGAAAAAGGTTTGCATTTCTTCAGGATATCCGTTTATATTAGTGTTCCTCGCTCAGTTTACTAACGAAAACAGTTAAGATACGTTTACATGGTACGATTTGAAAGTTTGCTAAATGGTAACGACGAATACTTTAAGTTGGTGATCTTGTCAGATTTGTTTGCCACGTATTTTTCAATTATCTCTACAGCAATTTTAGGTGACACGTGCGTGACACCTCACGTAAAAAGGGAGGCAGCAATTCAGTTCTGTTTTTAAAATTCACAGGCGCGGTCACCAATTCAATATCAGAAACGTCAACAACGGAACAAAGCTTGCCAAATTCAATCACAAGTCACGAATTAATTTACACGATTTTATCTTTCACGTTGAAAAGCATGAAACAGCACGCACGAAACAGCACGCATGAAACAGCACACATGAAACAGCACGCATGAAACAGCACGCATGAAACAGCACGCATGAAACGGCACGAACTCAAACGCAACTAACTGTACGAATTCCCGTTTAAACAAATACGATTTTGAGTTCGTCTGGTCTCGTATAATCGTAATTTACAAATATCATTTTATTTTAGGTTGTAAGGCAAGAGACGAGTGTAATAGCACAGACTTCTGTCCTGTTCGTGCAGAGGGTAGCGTTTGTGCGCAATTTGGCTGCTGTACCTATGACCGCTGTGTAGCCAATTACACCTTGGGTGTAGACTTTGAAACCCCTACCCCTTCCCCGACACCCTCCACCACCCAAAAACCACTTATGACAAAATCATCCTCCCTCGAACCTTCGTCATCTGTCGTTCCTATGACAACAAAACCTGAAATGGCAGCCAAAAGTACCGATCAAGCAAAAATTCCCATCACAAGTGTCGTCCAAGAAAAAATGCCCATCACAAGTACTGTCCAAGAAAAAATGGTCGCTACCAGTACCGTCGAAGAAAAAATGGTCGCTACCAGTACCAGTACCGACCAAGCAAAAATGCCCACCGCAAGTACAGTCCAAGAAAACAAGACCACTACTAGTACTGTCCAAGCAGAAATGACTTCAGAGCCCGTGATGCCAACTGCCAAAATGACAGCGGTTAAGACTATGACGTCAGCACAACCGGAAATGAAGACAACTAAGAAAAGTATGATGTCAAGTGTGTCGATTACACCAAGTAGAAGCACGGATGGTACTAAACCAGCGTCGAAGTCAATTGATGCACGCCCTCCTTGCCGCAGTGCATCAGGACGCGTGTTCAGTTTGGGTGCATTTGTCCTTGTAGCGATTGGATTGTTGTGCGGAATGTTTTAACATCTCCCGAGTTAGATTACTTCATTTAACTGAACTTAATTTTGCTTGTTAAAGTAGCCCTTTGCAGTTTATATATAAATAAGAAACTTTACTGTAAATGTTTAATAAGCTTACTTATGTTAGATTTATTCAAAAAGTGAGAAATAATACTCTTTAGTATGTAAAAGCAAATTTTTGGACATAAAATTGCACTGACGTTCCTTTGTCGAGTTCATAACCTTGTGAGTATTAATATGTGTATTCCAGTAAGCGTTACAGAGCAGCAAATGGCAAGCTTAAGCATAGTCCATCAAGATATGATGCATGGTTTGGAAACCAACAGAAGTGATTGTGGACTGGGACGATGGTGACCCGAGTGGAAGACATGAATGTTATAAGAATGTTGCTCTGAATTCAGTGCCTCGTTCTGACGAGATTGTTGTTGGAACGATCGTATTCTTTCCTCAGGTATGAGTGTTTATTGTAGACTATGGGTGGGCCCGCCATCCAACCTTGTGTTCATCCAATCTTGGGTTTCAATATAGTAATCAATATATATATAGACAATTTAATACTTTCTGGTGGACGATTCCAGAAAATTAATGGTGGACGACTCCAGAAAATTTCTTTAAATTAATAGGTTGGTATTCGGAAATAGTCCGCATTGCTGTGGAGGTCATCCACATACATTGTTTTACTTTTTAAACTTTTTTTGCTTTCACTAGCTTGTCTAATGCTTAATAGGCCACGTACAAAATTACTTGTTTAACGTGCACCCATTTTTCAGGTCGGGCAGAAGCTTTCTATTTCCCTTTTTTATTTTAATATACAAATAACAAATTATATAGCTTGATTTAAGCCCCGTTTACACTACGCTCAATTTAAATAGGTAGTCCAAGAACCAAAAAAGTGGTACGGGTACCAATTTTATCCGTGCCGTACCAAAAATTGAGCGTAGTTGTAATCGGGGCTTTAATGCAACTTTGAATTGTAAATTCATACTACGAGTAAAACTGAACTGAATTAGGATTTTGTCGAAGGATTCATGCAGGGGGACGGTAATTAAACAAGTATTTTATTTTAGGCAGTAAAGAGATCCTCAAACTATATTACCATGTTTTCAAGTAATAGCATGGATAATAAAATAAATTTATTTTATTATCCATGGTAATAGTAAACTTAAAAATATCCACATATGGGATCAATTTACATAAATCGCACAGAGGACTGAAGGCATTTTCATGCTGTTTCGTGTTGCTGTCGGATCGCCATTTTGCAGCAGCTGACAAAGGCTATAAACACCGGCAATAAATTCACAAGTAAGTTAATAATAATAATGATAATAATAATAGATCTCAAGACGAAATAAGTAGGTCTATATCTTACAATTCAATAGCTTCACTCAGAAATATATATAGGACGGCTAAGTGGGGTTATTCGGTTTAGTCTTAATTATCAGTAATATATTAATTTATATTACGATTCTTCTACAAGCTAGTCTATTATTTCTCCAAGCATTGCAGTTTTAAATAGTAATATGTTGACAGTTTATGTTCTTAGATATAGAAATATAATAAATATTTAGAGGTTCAAAATGTTCGTCCAAACCACATACTTTCACTCTCTACGAGCTACGACTAACTTCCCGACCAGAAGAGCTTTCGTTCGAAACGTCGAAATTCTGCTTGGTTTTTTTTCCAGAAATTTCCGATATTAGGGATTATTCCAAAGTGCAGTGATAACCAATAGACCTTTCCCCTTTCAAGTGAAATTTTGATCTAGACACGTCTGGACAAAAATTTCATCACAGCTTGAAAGAGCATCGCAAAATTAGTAATATTCCAAAGTTTCGTTTGCGCAATGTTGTAAAATGCGGATAATATAGCCGCCTTGCGAAGTTTGCCGTTTTTTAGTTATTTTGCATTACAAATTGTAATCAGTTTGATCATCTGATTACCAATTTCCCAAAATCACTGAAAAACGGCGAACTTCGCAAGGCTATATTATCCGCATTTTACAACATTTCGCAACGAAACTTCGGAATATTACTAATTTTGTGATGCTCTTTCAAGCTGTGATGAGATTTTTGCCGTCCAGACTTGTCTAGATCAAAATTTCACTCAAAAGGGGAAAGGTCTATTTGTGCAGTGATAAATGAGATTTATCAGTGCTAAATTAGATTATGTGCAGTGATAAAATGCGATATTGTTTAGGACCAGAAATTGGCAACAAAATGGCTACTGCATGCATGTATACTAATTTGCATATAATCCACATACAATGGCTTTCAGGTAGGAATATACAGGGTGAAAATATTTAACGCAAAATTATTGCAATCTGAGGGCTCGCGGCTACTGTTTGTCGACCTATTGATCAATAAAGCATTTCATTTACTAATGTTTCGGTGGCATTACTGGCATATCTTATTCCGATCGGGTATCCGAGCGGCCAAGTCGTGTTCAAGAAAATAACTTTTATGTCATCTTTGTATGGTTAAACTGCTGCCAAGCGATTTTGTGTTGAGATTTTTGACGCTGTTTGGTGACACAATCAACAGTTTATAGATTTAAATCTATTTCACGAGTGTGAAGGACTACATCTTGAGCAATAGTGCTTGGTGTTTTGCATGCGATTCAAAAAATATGTGAAAATGTGTATATTTTTGCATGTAATAGTAACTTGTCATGGAAAACTTTCTTATCTGTACAGCGTACTGTATAGTGTGAACAATAAGGAAGTTGATTGCCATCTGAAATGAACTCTGCTTCCCGAAAATAGTGATTCAGTTGGCAAATTACGCAAAAACTGAGGTTGAAAAATACCGTAAACTAAGATTGTTAATGTTTGAAGAGCTTTCCAGTATAAATAAAGTTAGTTTAGTTCAGGTTTCATCCTGTAGTAACACTGCATCAACAAGAGAAGACTCTTACTGGACCTCTAGGGAGAACAGTTTTGAACTGATAGAGCTATCCAGTATAAATAAAGTTAGTTTAGTTCAGGTTTCATCCTGTAGTAACACTGCATCAACAAGAGAAGCCTCTTACTGGACCTCTAGGGAGAACAGTTTTGAACTGATAGAGCTATCCAGTATAAATAAAGTTAGTTTAGTTTAGGTTTCTTCCTGTAGTAACACTGGATCAATAAAAGATGATGCTTACTGGAACTCCAGAAAGCACAGTTTAGATTCGACTGAGAGGTATCCAGTTTATTTTTAGTTTATATTCCTTCTCATCGGCAATCAATATTTTTTTCTTATAGAAAATGTTGATGTCAAAAGTGACGCTGACAGTTTTTGTCCTGGCCTATTTATTCAATGGTCAGTACTTGCTCTTCTTGGCATCCGTTCAAGATGTTTTGTTCTTAAAACAATGGTTACTGAAAAACTGTTTTTCAATCCTAGGTCTTCAAGTGCAGGCACTGACATGTCTGTGCACAGGGAGTACATGTGCAAATAATGAAACAACGTGTACAGATGCCACCGAGATTTGTTACGCGGCAGTGATTAGACTGAAAGATGGCAACACTAGAACCGAAAAAGGTTTGCATTTCTTATATCCGTTTTGTATTTCTTTTTCATTTTACTAACTAACAATAGATATGACAAGTCACGTCATGTCAATCACAAGTCACGAATTAATTTACACGATTTTATCATTCACGTTCACACGCATGAAACAGCACGCATGAAACAGCACGCATGAAACAGCACGCATGAAACAGCACGCATGAAACAGCACGCATGAAACAGCACGCATGAAACAGCACGCAAGAAACAGCACGCATGAAACAGCACGCATGAAACAGCACGCATGAAACAGCACGCATGAAACAGCACGCATGAAACAGCACGCATGAAACAGCACGCATGAAACAGCACGCATGAAACAGCACGCATGAAACAGCACGAATTCCCGTTTAAACAAATACGATTTTGAGTTCGTCTGGTCTCGCATGATCGTGATTTACAAATATCATTTTATTTTAGGTTGTAAAGATAGAGCCGAGTGTACAACCACAGATTTCTGTCCTATTCGTAAAGAGGGTAGCGTCTGTGCGAAATTTGGCTGCTGTACCTATGACCGCTGTGTAGTCAATTACACCTTGGGTGTAGACTTCGAAACCCCAACCCCGTCACCTACCCCAAGCCCTACCCCAACACCTACCCCAAGCCCTACCCCAACACCTACACCAAGCCCTACCCCAACACCTACCCCAAGCCCTACCCCAAAACCTACCCCAAGCTCTACCCCAAGCCCAACCCCAACCATATCGGAAACAGGTAATTTCCCGATTCATGCACATGTGTTATTGTTAGTTAACTGCATTTATAGTAGATTTACCTGAGCAATATTGCTTTTAAAAACAGCGTGAAAGTGAAGAATTGTAAATATTTACAGGTTTATGCATAAAACAACGTCTGCCGTCTGAGGGGTAGTAGAGTCGTATTATGTTCGCATTGTTTTGAAAATCGCAGCGAGTTGCGATAAATTTTGATGACGATCGAAATATTTGCAGCTTGTCGCAGTGAAGTTGCACTGGACTTGCAGTTAAATTGCAGGGTGTTTACATTGGCGATTTCACGTCGCCCTCACGTCAGCACGAAATTAAAATCGCACCTGAAAACGCACCTCGTTCAAGATGTTTTGTTCTTAAACAATGGTTACTGAAAAGCTGTTTTTCAATTCTAGGTCAGAAACTGACATGTCTATGTACAGGGAGTACGTGCAATCTAGGCGTAAAAACCTGTACACTTGTCAACGAAGTTTGCTACGCAGCAGTAATAAGACTGAAAGATAACAGCACTAGAATCGAAAAAGGTTGGTATTTCTTATATCTATTTTGTGTTTCTCTTTCAGTTTACTAACAAATAATATACATGAAAAAATTTCTCAATTCTGATTGGCTAAGAGGCAGCGGAATTTTTTCGAAATACAGTGTCAAAAATGAAATACAGTATAATTTTTTATTTTTTAAACATATTTCTTAATTTTAATACTTAATTTCTTAATGTGACTTACGCACGTGACTGCATAATTTTTTCATGTATATTATTAAGTAATAGTATGGTTTCTCGTGCAATTTGAAAAAACATACACTCGTGAGTTTTTTAAAGACTTCAAATTGTACTCGTCCTTCGGACTCGTGCAATTTTGAAACAGCACGAATTCAACTGTACGAATTCCCGTTTAAGTTCATTAAACAAATACGGTTTTGAGTTCGCCTGGTCTCGTATGATGGCAATTTACATGAAATATCATTTTATTTTAGGTTGTAAGGCAAGAGACGAGTGTAAAAACACAGACTTCTGTCCTGTTCGTGCAGAGGGTAGCATTTGTGCGAAATTTGGCTGCTGCACCTATGACCGCTGTGTAGTCAATTACACCTTGGGTGTAGACTTTGAAACCCCTAACCCCACTTCCACATCAGGACGCGTGTTCGGTTTGGGTGCATTTGTCCTTATACCAATTGGATTGTTGTGTGGAATGTTTTAGTTCTTATTACTTCATTTAACTGATTAACTTAATTAATTTTGCTTGTTTTAATTAAATTAAAGTAGCGCTCTGCAGTTTATATATCAAGATGCAGTACTGCAGTTTACACAAAACCTAGTCAAGAGACATGAACAGTCTATGCCAGGGCAGATATAGCGATAATAACACCAGAAAACTGTAGATTGAGAAGGATTTAACTATCTGAAAAATAAAAGTAAAACTTCGGGACCTTCGCTCGAAACGTCGAAGTTTTGCTTATATTTTGTATTTTGTAAGTAGTTTTTAAAAACGGAAAATACAAAAGAAATTAATGTTTAATCAATGTTTGTAATTTGTCCTGATTTACATAAACTTCAGCTTTGATTTTCTCGGCATAGACAATGTTTATTTTAAAAATTACTTCGCCAGTGAACTAATAAGATGGGTTGTTTTTTAAGCACGTTATTTCGGCTCGAGTTTATATATCAGATAAAGATCAGCTGTTCATGTTTCAACTAGTATACGTATCCCTTTGCGTGCTATCCTAATTAAATTCAATTGTGGTATTTATGCTCTTAATTATTAATTGGTGCTCTGTTGATGTTCTAGATAATACTAAGAAACAATTTGACTTCAAAGGAAAATAAAAAACTTTACTGTAATGTTTAACAATTAAGCTTAGTTATGTTAGATTTATCCAAAAAGTGAGAAATAGTACTCATTAGTATGTAAAATGGTGGACGTATCCAAAAAGTCTGAATTGCTTTTGAGTTCATCCACATTGTTTTACTTTTACTTGTTAGTTTATTTTGGTGTGTTGGTTCTCTATGCAAAAACTGTTAGTTTCTTTACAACGGCGAAATGGCGTGCGCGTGTTGCATATCACCAATATAGATCGTGACGCGTCCGCGTAGTAGACCCACCACATCTTAACCTCCCAAATGACCGATCTCCGACACGACGAAATAATTTGATGGCAAGGAGATGTCGGTAACATCTTTGACCGAATGCTTCCAACTTCGCCAGGTTTCAGCTGCATAAAGCAAGTACATATACACTGACGAAAGTTTGTAGCACACTTTTCTTCACTTCATTGTTAAAATGTTGGCTCAACCCATATCTTGAGTGTAGAGCATCAAGTGCTGCGTGTAATAATTATGTTAACAAAATATTCTCATTCACAAAACTGTCTGTTATTGCCTGGTCACTATCTGCCGCACGATAATATCTATAACCGTTGTCAGGACAGGCGCTCAATTTTCAATCATCATCATTTCTTTACGTTTTCTAGCCCTCTCTACCACCCTGTGTATCTTCGAGACACCCATGCTCACTCCTAATCCCACCAAACTCCCTACAAACCCCCCAATGGCCGCGCCAACAACAGGGACTGGCACTACAATCTGCCCAACAAGAGTGCCTGTCGTGCCCGCAACGAACTGACAACCCGTTTGAAAGAGGCGACCGCGTATCTCCCTCTTGTATTGCTGTTCAGTAATCTTTCCCCGGTCCTTGCGCACTTTAGCACGTGCTAACATGCTTGCCGTCACAGCAATGTCAACAAACACGGCTAGCACGACGCCGGCGGCCGCGTGTCCTAATGACGTCGCTGTCGTCTCGATCCCAATTGTCGCCGTGTTCTCTGCCGCCGTCCCAGTCACCATTTGAACTGTTTCTATCACATTTTCCCGCATATTTCCTTCCTCATCGCCGCTCAGCAACCCAGTCAACTTGTCGTATTGTAGGATTAATTCTTCCATCTCTGCTAAACGTTCACACATCTTGTTGGGCAACAAAGTAAACTGTAATGTCATCCAGTTCCTTAATGCCGCTGCGAAAAGCCTTATTTCTCCGTTCAAAACGATCGATACCTTGCAATTAATTCCTCCAAGCAAAATCACTGTAAACAATGAATCCATTCGTTTCAAAGTGGTTTCATTTGCTTGCGAAATCTCTTGCCGTTCCTCCGAAGATTCATGTAATCTAAATATGTCATTCCTTTCCCCCAAATTATTATTCGCTTCAGAAATCGCATCCAATGAAATCAAGCTTTCAGAAATCGCACTCTTTTCCACGGGAAGAAAGCGATTAGCATCCCAAGTTGCTATTAAGACATCTGAATCTGCGTAAATAACATCGAGAAGATACTTATCAACTTGTGTTAGTATCAACATCAGCTGATTGTAATAACACAGAGGGAATCTCGTCCTCATACATCGAAAAGACTGAGAGTTAATGAATGCATCTATTTGCCAGTAGTTAATGTCTTCAGGTTGTTTTATCACTTCGACAAAAGCAAAGGATTGAGGCATCGTTGATTCTTGTAGCTTGTTAAAGTCTTCAGTTTACTGCCTGCTTCCAACTATTCAAGCCTTTATGAAGTTTAGTTTAGCTTTTGATTCGGTTTAACTTCAAGAATAATGATCCTTTCAGCTTCTTACTCCTCCAGCTTTAAAAGTAACAGTCTTCCCGAGTGTGTTGAAGTCTGTAGACAATTTAGTTGAGCTTCAAATAAAAATAAATCGATAAAGCTTAGAGACAATAGAGATTAGTAGAGCATTATGGTTGAGGTTTAAGAATAACTATGTATAAATCTTCTTCTTTCGACCTCTCTATCATTTGCTTTCTACGTAAACGCTCTTCTTCTTCAGAATAACAGTCTCCCTTGCTTATCCTCGTCTTTTTAGTTGACGTCAAATTTTTAAATCTCTTCTAGAGTTTACTTCAGCTTATAACAATGCAGCTGGTCCACTCAAACTTGCAGTTTTTAAAATCTTTGGTCTGGATTAACTTCAACAGTAACTATCTTGCACTAAGTCCAGCTTAGTTGAGCGTCAAATATATGTAAATCTTTGATACAGGATCATTTAGTCGAGCTTTAAGATGGACTAAATCTGCTCCTTTCGTCTCCATTTGGTTTCTGTGTTTAATTTAGTTTTTCCTTCTAAAAAATAACTCCCTACGGAGAAGTGACCGCATATCCTCACGCAAAGTACAGATAGGCCACGATTTCGATCAAAACAGACGAAAATTTATGATCAACTGATTACGAGATTCGTTTGTTATCAATAATTTAATACACACAGTCAGGAATAATTCCACATAACACTCTACAAGCAGATGTCTCTGGTTGATAATATTTTTCAACGTATGCAAATTTGGCATCTACATACAGTGGCTGAGGTATTATTGGCAGAATCCTAGGATCGGCTGTTCAAAAGTTCATTTTCTTAGTGCATTGCAACTGTTAAGCTCCAGTCAACCGAGAATGAGAGTTGATGAGAGTTGGTAGTCATGCATTGTTACAGGGGACATTTCAAGCTCTAGATGAACAAACTAAAGGTTTGATAAGTGTTCCAACTATGTTCTAAGTTTTAACTTAAGTAGAATACATGATAGTGTTGGGAAAGCATTAAGAACAGATGACCAAGCTCGCGTGACAGGACTGCCAACTCACTTCAACTGTCATGCACTCTCGTATTCTCAAATGTATTTATATGCTTTAAGGATAGCTCTATACACTTGAGGACAGCTCTATACACTTGAGGATAGCTCTGTATACTTGAGGATAGCTCTATATACTTGAGAATAGCTCTATACACTTGAGGATCGCTCTATATACTTAAGGATAGCTCCATATACTTGAGGATAGCTCTATATACTTGAGGATAGCTCTATATCAATTGTTAATTGTTCTCCATAAGTTCCACTGTAAACTGTTATGTTTTGCTGGTACTGGGGCAGCCTGCAAAGCAGGTACTCGCGGGCTTGGTTACTGGTGCTGCAGGGGAGCATTTTGCGTGTCTGAAACTTGCGGTGTTATAACCAATGGCTTCCGTATACAACCAAACCGATTTATATTACCATCTTAACCGCCAAATAACCTTATAGTTACCATGGTATATATAGCTTACGACTTAGGGACTGTGAGTTTGTTTAAAACAACCTTGGCTTTTTATAAAGTGTCTTTATATCATTCTTAGACCCCTCTGTTTCCGAGCAGCGGAATAGAAGCCTTTGACAACCCGATGTTAATGTGGACAATATATACAAGAGCTTTGACAACCTGGCATTATTGCTTTACCACCAGAAATGTGATGAAGCTTCAACTCAGAAACTCGTGCAGTGAAATAACGTGCACTTTTGTTTTTCCTTAATACTGGAGCATTAGAAAATCAAATTCTTTCAGCCGTTAATTGAAGGAAAACTATGGAACTAATCTTGTCTATTTCAAGGAGACTAAACAGTAACCTTTGTTTTGGGTGGTTTTAATATAACAGTCTGGATTAATTCATTTGAGTTTTGAAGGTTTGTATACTATATTTATGAGAATTTTTGTCTTATTTTATATTGTTAATTTTTGCTTTAAATTTGTTAAATATACTTTGAGACAATGAAAACAATATATTATTTTCTATTACTAATTTCCTGGATTTCATATAAAATAAATCATTCGTCATACAGATATGAAATTTGTTGACTCAAAATTTTGATTCCTGTATATATAACGTGTATAAAAACTATATTTCTTTGATAATACTCTATCATATAGATAAAAATATTAATAGTAATATGTATATTGATAAAACGCGCGCTTAAACAAAGCATCCTACATCTTTCAAAGAGTCCTCAGACCACGCAACCTGATTGGTCAAATAAAATGCGAGTGTTACAATATGAGAGAATACAAAAAACTTTTGAGTTTCTTACAAACGGCTAATTATGTATTCATGATTGTTTAACAAGCATAGCGCTAACGCGTAGGAGCTGGTCAATGAGAACAATATTTAGTATTTACGTATTTTTCTTTTAGTCCAAATGAAAGAAATGAAAGTTTTTTATTTTCTTTTGTAACCGCGTCCACAGCCCATTTTTTAATTGATTTAATTTTCATGCTTATATTGTGTCATGCATGTTCGTGCCTTTATTATACATTTACTTAAACGTTTCCAACACAGTATATTAGAAAGGTCTCTAAGAAACTATATAATCGATCTGACATCCTACCTTGAGCCGTAGTTTTTCGTCTTCTGCTCCGCATATTTTTGATCAAATATCGAGGAATGAGTTCTTTAGTATAGAGGGTCTTCTAAATAAACAATAAAATAGATGGTAAATTTATTATGGTAAAGAAAATCTATATACTGTGTAATAAACTATCGCCACTTAATTGGAACAGCAACGGGGACGAAATGTGAACTAAATTAACTTTTTTATACTGGATATGCTCCATCGTAAATTGTTGTTCTTATAGATCGAGTATAAAGTAAGGATTATTCCTATTTTGGCAAGCTTTCGTTGGTAGGCGTGCAACTACCTGAAATATACAAGAAGAAATTCGACGCTTCGATCGAAGGAAGGCCATTCGTCCAGAAATTCGAAACGTCCAATTTCTCCTTGTGTACTTCAGATAGCTGCATCCCTCCCAACGAAAGCTTGTTATTACTGAGACTATACCTACACTGACAGTTCATTCCTATATTGGTCTGTAGCTATACAGGAGGAAACTAGAGTACCTGCGGAAAACCTGTTGTGTTTGTTAATGGTAGAGTCAAACTGAAAGCATTCTTCTCACATGTGACTGAGCTGAAATTATAATCAGACCACTGCATACATAGCAGGACTGATGGAACTTCGGTCACAGAGCTGAAACACACATGCACTAAATGACAATTATATTTAAATTTTCTCCTAGATTTATTCAGGCAGCCATGAAGTGGGGAGTCTACGTTCTTTCAGCAATCATTTCTTGTTTTATTGTCCTGCTTCTGGCCGTGATTTTCATGCTTTTTAAATACCGCAAGAAATTGAAAGAGTCAAGCTATAGTCCAGTCGATAAACGAAGTATAAACTTCGAGTCTTGTGTTGGTGGGGCAAAGAAGCCTTACATTGAGCGGCTGGCACAGTATCTGCTAGGATACAGTGATGCAGAGGTTGAAGATGGTACAGATGATGATTATGATGATATTGAGGTCAACAGAGGGTTGACTAAGTTGGTGCCAATACAACCATCCAGTGAAAGTGATGGGGAGTATCATGCAAGCACCTCCGCCCACGTGATACGACCACGCACCCAGAGTTACCAAAATAATACCACTACAGCACCACAGGTGGGTAGGCAATAAATGCGCGCTATATTTATACTGGATAGCTCTATCAGATTTTAACTGTTCTCCCCAGAGGTCCAGTTTTGATCATTCCTAATAAGCTCAGCAACGAATCGGGCGCATGTCCGTGGGGTACTTTTGCTCCATTCCATGCAAACATTATCAGAACAGTGCCAAACTACAATCAATGCCAAAGGTGGGACACTTGTAAACAATTGCGCAAAATAACATGTAAACAGTAGCGAAGCCAGCCCGATAATTTAGTCCCGCTATGCAAATATTTTCGTGTTCATTGACTGTGAAAGCAATCAATGTCTAAAGAAATGAATAATAATAATATTTTTTTTATTTGCATAGCACGACTAAATTGTCGGGCTGGCTTCGCTACTGCATGTAAACCAACTTCCAGAGCTCTCTATGTTATTGTGTTGGGAGATTTATCAGCAACGCAATACAACACAAAGCCACTTCAAATAAGATGTCAATTTTAGTCTAACGACACTGAAGGGGACGGGGATTATGTTACAGTCTCAGCCTGGTAGCAACAGGTGTAAACAAACCGCGTTGGGGGTCCATCTCACAATTTCCTCAAGATTGAAAGCATTTCGATGTTTCGAGCGAGTACCC